TCCTTGTTTTGACAGCCTAAAGACAGGATACGATCATTTTTAACGGTGTTAACCAAATGAACAGGAAAGTGCAAAGTTCAGCCATTCTCCTTTGGTGCTACCTTCAGTTCATTCTAGAAGAAAAGGCATGTGTGAAAGGCCGGCTGCATTTGGACGTAGGCCACAGCAGGCTGTGTGCCCGGGTGTCTGCCCTAAATACCATGTCCTGGAAGACACACTCTGTAAGCCTTCAAGGTCTCTGTAGCACACTTAACAGTGTCTTCCGCTGGGTAAGCTCCAATGAACATTGTATTAAACTGTCCAGGTTCATATGCATTTAATTCCTGTCCTGTGTAGCTGTTAATTTTCTAAGACAGAAAAAAGCAGTAAGAATAAGCTCAACAGGAGGAACAATCAGAAGTAATTCACACTTCAGAAAACTCTCCCTAGAAGCCCCAAATCTTGCTCATCTATGTTATCTAGAATCTCAAAATATGTTTCCCTAATATTTTGGCAAGAGACTATCTTCACTTCTCCTCAGCAGGGAAAGTATGGGGGGTGGGGGGCGGTGGAGAGTGGTGGTGAAGGACGCCTCCGAGGAGTCCCTCAGGAGACAATGCTATGGCTCCAATGATTTGTTTGGCTGCCTCCTCCCTGGGAATCCCAGGCGTGAGGAGGGGAGGAGGAAGAGGGGAATTGCATCAGAAGGAAGCACATAACACAGCCCAATCGGCAGCAAGAAAAGTCTTGAAGGTTCACCTCCAGAGCCCGGTCTATGCTGCGTGATCTTCAGCAGGTATGACCACATCTTGACCTACTTTCCTGTCTGTGTAGGAGATGCTGTCAGGCACGGGTGGATGTTTAATGAATATTATGATCTGATACTTCTATTGCTATTACAGGCTCAGGAAATATATTTAGCAACGGATATTATTTTCCCAGGCATAGAAATCTGAACATAAAACTTGCCTGGATGGAAAGAAAGCTCAGAAAATTTGACTCATACCAGTATATTTGACTTCTACTGATACCTGGGCTGCGTACAATTTTGAAACTCACCCTGACCTTGCAGGTTCTGGTGGCCTACACAGCTTCCTGTGCCCCACTTCCATAAACAAGCTTCAAGTCCGTTTACCTTGCATGCATGACGGATGATTACCATCAGCGTCCTCTGTGGTGCACAACAGTTCTATGTTAACTAGACAGAATCACGTTAACACGGCTTAAGTTAGAAATCCAGTCTTAGGGGCGCCTGGGCGGCTCAGTCATTTAAGCGTCCAACCTCGACTCAGGTCACGATCTCATGGTTCATGGGTTCAAGCCCCACGTCAGGCTCTGTGCTAACAGCTAGCTCAGAGCCTGGAGCCTGCTTCAGATTCTGTGTCTCCCTCTCTCTCTCTGACCCTCCCCTGCTCACGCTGTCTGTCTCTCTCTCTCTCAGAAATAAATAAAACATTTAAAAAATTTTTTTAAAAAAAGAAATCCAGCCTTAAATGAATCACTCAAAAAACAATTGTTTACTGAGCAGGCTAGATGCTGGAAATATAATGACAAGCAATAGGTGTGACACTCATTTCAAGAAACTATCTAGAATGTCTTTCTTTTTTTAAATATTTATTTACTTTTGAGAGAGAGAGAGAGAGATACAGAGGTATGCGCGGGGGAGGGGCAGAGAAAGAGACACACACACACACAGAATCTGAAGCAGGCTCCAGGCTCTGAGCTGTCAGCACAGAGCCTGATGTGGGGCTCGAACTCATGGACTATGAGATCATGACCTGAGCTGAAGTCAGATGCTTAGCCAACTCAGCCACCCAGGTGCCCCCAGAACATCTTTTAAATTAGAACAGAACAACAATTTCAGTGATAGTTTTATATTGTGCCAACATAGCCAAGCTGAACTACATTTCCCAGAGTCCCCTTCCCAGTCCTGTTTGCCACAAGAGAAATCTGCCTGGATTTTGGAGGGCACAGATGAAACCACAGCCTGATGGGTGTGTTGGGTGCCGCTGCAGCTTGCACACACCATCACTGGCCAGCTGGATCCCTGTGTTGGCACAGGGCATGGCTGGTGCTTCTTCAGAACTTGCAGTATCTCCCTCAGATTCTCCCGTCCTTGGGCCAGGTGCCCATAAGCTCTAAGGAGAAGCACACAGCTCCTTCTGCAAGTCTCCCAAGTCCAATGTGCAATGCTGAGGCAGTGAAAGCCAGGGGTTCCAGTGGGTTCTTGTTCTCCCCCATTTCACATCCAGCTTATCTTTGCAACTGCAGACCCTGCCTGCCAGTAGTGACTTCAGTCCTGAAGTCACCTGCACAGAAACCAAGGTGACAGCCCTACACAAACTTCTCCAGCAGCTCCCACAATTGTACGAGGTCTAATTACTGCAATAAATATCTTATTCTTTATCTCTCATGGTAGATCTGGTTCCCTGATTGAACCCTGAACCCTGAGACATCAATTCTCTACATTTTAGAGGCAAAGGGCTTTGAGGACAGTAGAGAGTTTACAAACCTTTCAATGAAGAAACGGGTTTTAATTCATATGCATGTAAGTCACTGGGTCCCTGATTGAACTCTGAATCCCAAAACATCAATTCCCTACATTTTAGAGGCAAAGGGCTTTGAGGACAGTAGAGGGTTTACAAACCTTTCAATGAAGAAATGGGTTTTAATTCATATGCATGTAAGTCATACCAGTGCTTGCCAATCTGAGCAATGGACCAATGTGCCAACTGTCAAGCTGAGCACACATATCCCCTTTGGCAAATGCTAACAGCCAAGTTCCAAAATACTGATCCAAACCTTCTCTGTTGTTTCCCCCTTGAGCCTGCATCTCTTCCCTCAGCTATTATTGAGGGGAGATATAATGGAATGTAAAAATCATGTAACTGGATCCAATTCAGAGGAAGAAGAAAATCTGAATTTAGGACTTCCACAGCAAAATGTGCTGGAGTTCAGATGGCCACGGTCTGTTCCAATTACGGTCACAGAGACTTCAATTTTCATAAGACACTTTTCAATTTGTTGTGACAGATATTAATATGAAGATATGACCCTGACTACAACTCAGGGTCAGCTTGCATTTAAGTCCTTCCTAACGAGAGACACCTACAAGGGATATTTTTCCCTCAGCAAACCTGCAGAGGGAGCTGGTTCCTTAGAGAAGCAACAAATGCCTTTTCTGAGACATAAAGGATTCATCATTGGGTTGACTAAACTCAATCAAATACACTAAAGGCATGTAGGTAAGGTAAGCTGATGGTTGCTGGCAAATGTATGTTTTGAGGATTTAAAGCAAGAAGCTGAGCTAACAAAGGGGAGATCACTTGGAGAAGACCACATAGTTTTGAAATCATCTGGTTTTATATCTTTCTGTCCCACTAGACTACATGCATCCTAAGCACAGTGCCTGGCATATAGGAAGTGCTAGGTGATTTTTTTTTTTTTAACTAAAAAAACCTGGCTCATGTTAAAAGAGGAATCAAATCCATAGTTTTCAGAAAAATACTTAAAAAAGAAATTTACTGAGGATCAAGTAGTCTTAAAAGACCAAGGAATACTCTGGAAGGAACTGGTCTCATGACACTGGTCACACAAACTTAAGCAGCCCATCCATTGTCCCTGCTTTCCCAGGTAAAACAGAAATGAAACGTGGGACCATGGGATTCTCCAGGATCTGAGTCAGGCAACTTAGGATCATTTGTCTCCTTCATTCCATGTGGGCTATTGGAAACGAGAATAGACTGGCATCTTAAAAAAAAAAAAAAAAAAAAAAACTCAGATCACACAGCACAGCAAGGAAAATTATGAGCATTGAGTTAATTGTCATCTTCTAAGTATACTGTGAAATTTCCAGGTAGTTGCCAAACAGCACCTTCTCCAGTAGCAGAGAAGCCTTATTTGGTAAAAATCAGTTACAAAGACTAGTCATCCAGTGACAAGTGCCTCCTAGGTTAGAGCCTCCTCCTGTATCCCTGGAAGGTGGGCATCCCCTCTGACCAGGTTGCAAGGTTTATGTTCACCAGCGTTCCCCGCCACACCTCCCCCACACTGGTTTCTCTTCTCATCTCTTATACTTTCCCTGAACCAGCTGATCCATTTGCTATAGTTTCAACAACCATCCTCACAGTTCCTAAGTGCGAGACCAATATAAATAATGAGCATCTGTTAACCATCTTTGCCTGTACGTCCAGAATTTAAAACAAATTCTTTCATGAGCACCTACAACGTCCCAGGCTTGGGATACATCAAGGAACAAAAAAACAGGTCTGTGCCCTTATGGAGCTTACATTCTGGTAATATGTTTGCCAAACGTGACATGTTCAGACAGACGGATTAGCCTCCCTTCCCTGCTCGTCTGCCTCGGCCTTCTCAGTCAATGGCATCACCGTTCATCCACTGACCTCCCTTCTACCTCATTCCACAAGGTCCCAAGTCCTGTCAAGTTCATGATTATCTCTGCCTGACCGCACCCCACTGCTCAGAGGACCCCCAGCCTCTGCCATCAGACTTGGCTTCCACTGCATCCCTGGCTCCATCTATAGCCACCTGAACCCGCCATCTGTCCATGTCCACGGCCCTTGTCCTCTAGCATGTTGTCCTGCTTCCACCCTCCCCCCTTCTACTGGCCTGGTAAGCCCCTACTCATCCTTTAAGGACCAGCTCAATTGACACATCTTCTTGGAAGACTTCTCTTTTAAACAGTTATTTGGTTCTTCCTCCAATTAAGTTATGATATTGTACTGATCTGCTTACATGTTTGCCACTCGCTCCAGACCGAGGACTTGCTGAAGTCAGGGACCACGCTGTCCACCTGGGACTACTCCAGTTACCACCCCCCACCCCACACTATGCCTGGCATGAAGGAGGTGCTCAAAAGAACCAACTGTTCAATTTTGGTAAATCCTCTTGTATTAGAAGTAAAAGCCTTTTGTTCATAAGCAACAATCCCGAATTCAGCAGAAAGCATTTTTCTCTTTCTGTGGCCTTGAGGTGCTAGATTATATAAGATAATCACTCACTTCGCTTCTGGAGGCAACAGCCCGGTGCAGTGGGGTCAGCCACATGTTGTCCTTGGCATTTACGCGAGCTCCTAGAACCAAAAGCACAAGTTAGAGGCGTCATGCAGTCAGGGAAATTCTATTGATGTTAAGTCAGATGTGATTATCTTGTCCTCTCGTTTGCCTGGTGCAACGACCATATTTTGTTTTGTTTTCTCTTTGTATCACTCATGCACTTGCTGGCCACAAGACAGAAGGAGAGACCCAGTGTAGTCGAAAAAGTGAAACCAGGAGCTGAAAATGTCACCAGAATTGCATAAAGACCGGATGAGAAGGACAGTGCCTCCTTGGATAGGAGACACAGATGTAAGAAGGTGGAGATTTGCCGGGAGCAGGGAAATGTAGATTATGAAGAATGAAGAACTTTGCAGGTATGTGTGTATGTATATAAATATGCATATAAATATAAAATATTTTATGGATAATATACAATATATAATCACATATATTACTTTTATTCATTAAGTATCCTTATCACATAGGACACACAATACCCTTCTTGGCAAACTGCCTAGGATGAGCAACCTTCCAATAAAGGTATATCAGAAGCCAGCTGGATTTCAAATAAATCTTGTCAAGTTGAGTTCTCATGAGACTTGATCTGGGCTGAGGGGATTAGCAGAAATCTGTTCTATACAAGAATCCCAATTATTTCTCTGGGACTAGCCAGGTATCTTGGTAGGAAGAAGCCAGCTTCCAAAGCATTTGGACAGACACAACATGAAGTCTATGCAGGCTGCTCACAGCCCTCCTATCCCTCACTATGGGGTCGGCAGACAGGCTCACACACGGGCCAGAAGGAGTACACACTCAGGGATGAGCCCCACACACTCAACTTTCTGGGAGCCATGTCACGATCATCGAAAGGAAGCTCTATGTGAATAGATTCCCAGAAAGAAGAGCATGCCCTCCCTCCACGATACCCTCACAATATCCATGAGTGCAAGCTCACCAAGTCTACAACTGAACTGTGGAAACACCCAATATGAGCTTCCCTTTTTTGGGTCCAGGGTTTTGATCAGTGTTTTGCTAGCTGGAAAATTTCTTAAAAGGGCTATAAAAGAGGAGGGCAAGATAAATATGTGTGATATCTTTGTAGATGCAATGTGAGGAGACTATGTTAGCTTGAGGACAACGAGGAAGGAAGCTCATGAGGAAAAGGAGTGGAGAGATGAATCAAAGAAACTAGAAAGTAAGGCAGAGGAGGGGAAGCATGGAGGGGGTGCTTCTGGGAAAAGGGCCGAGAAAGTGAGTCAATTGGAAGCAGGGAGTGACTAATCTCAGTGAGGCCAAGGCCAGCTGAGAGCTGAAACATAGAAACCATGTTTTAAAAAGAAAAAAAAAGGGCAACAGGAGACTTTATGGGTAAAAGTGAGCTAGCAATTTAGTTTAAGACACCAGCTAAAAGGAAGTAACAAATCATAGAAGTGACCCTATTTTTTCTCTTTCACTGAAGAACAAATACCATCAACAATATTGATTATAGAGAGCAAGAACATAATAATCCCTAAAACAAAGAGAGAGAGAGAGAAGGTCTCCCCACCCCTCCCCTCATTCTGACTTCATTGGTTTGAGATGGAGCCAAGCGCAGGTATTTTTTAAAAGCTCCCCAAGACCCAAGGTTATTTTAATATGCTGTCAAGGCTGAAAGCCACTGATAAAATGTTGCTTAGTTCATCAAGCTTAAAATTATTTGAATCCTAACTCTACTACCTCTGTCCAGGCAGCTTACCCAAAAAGGCTTGAGCCCCTTACATCAAGAAGGATGAAATAAAATCAGTTTGGGCATGCTAAGAATCACCAGCAGCAGGTAATCTCTTTGCCCTGTAGAAAGAAGTCCTGGGCTAAATGCTCTGGAGTGAACGTGCTACAGGGCTGGGTGCCTGGTGGGGATGCCTGCATCAAGATATCCCTTTCGTTTGCCCTGTCTAGTTTTAAGGAACTTCATGTCACAAAGTCAAACCAGTCATCTGAGAGGGATAATGGCTGGTCGCATCACAGTCTGTGTCTGAGTCTGAGGTGTCACCAAACTGTCTGCATGTCATCCCGTTAACCACTGTAGTCACCCTTTCCTGTAGTACGTTCGTAGGAAGGAACGCTATGTGTGTCCGATGCGGTACCTGCTAAGGATACCGCATCCATTCAGACTCAGAGCCTGACTCAAAGTCAGCGTGGTCCAGTAGAAATGTCATGTGAGCCAAGGATGCAATCTTAAATTTTCTAGTAGCCACATTAAAAGGGGGAATAAAAAACAAGCAAAATTAATGTTAGTAATGTATCTTATTTAACTAGAAGTATCCAAAATATTGTCACATAACCGAGTTTAAAAATTATTCAGGTAATTTATTCTTTTTCTCATGCAAACGCCTCAAAATCCAATGTGTATTTTACCCTTACAGCACATCCACACTGAAACTGGCCATCCTTCAAGTGCTCAGTAGCCACTGCGGGTTTGTGACTCCGTATTAGATGGTGCAGGTCTAAATGCTAAGTGGTAGAGCCCAGCTTGGCTACTCATTTGCTTAAGAGCTCCCTTTAGTTTGAAAGGGCTACAATTCTCCTATTGCAGATGTGCAATTACTAAAGAGCCTTGTTAAAAATTGCTAACATAATCTGAGCTCTCCCTCGATACACTAACCTACTTGTAGTTCATTTAATAGGGAGACGCTATTATGATGCTGATTTTTTAGATGAAGGAACTAAGGCCATGAGAAGTAAATTGCTCCAGGTACCCAGCTAGGAAATGGCAGATTTGAACCCAGGCAGTCTGACTTCAAAGTGCAAGCTCTTCAAACAGTGCCTCACTTCATAACCAACCATCAACTAAACACTGATTAAGTTTCCCTTCCACTTTCCCCATCTTTCTCTGCCTTCCTTAGATTCATTCCTCTCTCCCTCTGTCTCTCCATCTTTCACTCTTTTTCCATTTTCATAAACATTTTCAAATATTTATACATATATATTCCCCCTTGATTTCATTTCCTATCCCCCTACCTTTCTCCTTTTAGCTCCAAACACTGATTACAATAATATGAAACAGAAATACATACTTCATTATTCATAGTCTTTGACAGAGCAAATTTTGCACTGCCTGGGTGTGATCTTAAAAAGCTAATGCAAGAAGAACCCCAAATGGCAAGACACATATGAAAATATACTTCTCAAAATTTATCAGGGAGAAGCAAATGAAAGCAACATTAACCTACCATTTCACACCCATCAAGTTGGTGAAAATTATAAAGGATGATAAGCGCAAGAGTTAGTAAGGGTAGGGAGTAACAGTAAGACTTCCATACAGCTGGTGGGAGTGTGAACTGATACAACCACCCTTGGGAAGCAATTTCTGGCTACCTAGTAAAAGTAACACAGCATGTGTCCTCCTACCTAGCGACATACTCTCACACTGTGGAAGAATGTTCACTGCAGCATGTTTGTAACAACAAGAAATTGGAATCCTAAATGCTGGTCAAGAGGAAAATGGATAAATACATTGTGGTGTATGTGTACAAGGGAATGCCACACTGTCCTGGAAATGAATGGACTGAAGTTTTTGATATATATAAACAGATGCACTTCAGAAACATAACGCGAATGAACAAATGAGGTTGCACATATACCTATGACATAATATCAGTCATATAAAGTTTTTAAATTTATAGAAACAATGTTGCATGCTGTTTGTGGATGCATAGGTGTGAAACAAAAGTAACAAATATGGCTAAAGAAAACACATAGCCAATTTTGGATAGTGGTTGCTTATAGGAAGGAACAGTAGAGAAAAAAGGATGAAGTAAGAGCATCTTCAATATTTTCTTTAGAAAAAAGATATGATACAAACATGGGAAAATGTTAAGATTTCTTAAAGCGGGGTACACATGGGTATTACTTATATTTTTCTCCATATCTTCTGCATGTTTGAAATATTTACTGTTAAACATTTTTACAAAAGCAAGTATATTTGGAGTCTTATGTTTCTTCATAAAAACGGGGAGGCTTGGGATACCTGGGTGGCTCGGACTCTTGATTTCAGCTCAGGTCATGATCTCGTGGTTTGTGAGTTCAAGCCCTGTGTTGGGCTCTGTGCTGACAGCTCAGAGCCTGGAGCCCACTTCAGATTCTGTGTCTCCCCCTCTCCCTGCCCCTCCCTGCTCATGTTCTATTTCTCGCTCTTAATAATAAATAAATAAATAAATAAATAAATGTTAAAACATCTTTACATGAATTATTAAAGATTTGATTAAGTCCTCTGGAGTATCATTCTCAATGTTGGACTCTCCCCACTTAATGAAAAACAAAAACAAAAATTAAAAAAACACTGCTATGAGCCTTGTATATAAGCTTCTGGTTTCCTTTACCCCTACACAGGCCGATATGTGTACCATGGAAAATTGAGAGAAATAAGCTAATGCGTGGTCAGTACAACACTCTTTTTTGCATATTTAAAACATTACACAGTAATTTTTAAAAATCTATAGTGTTTTATAAGTATGCTTTTACAGAGATAATATCATATTGTAATAACCCTCTGAATATTATATCCTGTTATAACACTGAGTTTCTGAATTATTTCTGAATTGACACTTTGCATTGTTTCACTCAACAGTATATTTTTCATATCTATCTCTGTTGAGATACTTATGACCATTCTTCTTGATTACCACATTATTCCAACATATAAACACACTACATTTTTTAGACCTTCTGTCCACTGATGGTATTTCGGTTATTTCCAATATTTCATTATTCAAGCAATGCTGCTGTGAACCCATAAAATGATTCCTTCTTCAAATGTGCAAGCATTTGTCTAAGATAATTAGAAATGGACTTTTCTGTATCACGGGTCATGCACACTTTTGGTTTTAATCCTTAGTCTCCACCGTCCAAAGAGTGCTAATGTATGAGATTGCCTACTTCCCCACATCCTCATCAATACTTGATATTATCACCCAGTTAAAATACTGAAAATCTGATTGGAAGGAAACAGCATCCCATTTTTCTGTTTTCCTGTTTAATAGTGAGGTTGGGCGTCTTCTAATATGTTTATTTACTGGACATTTGCAATTTATTCTCTGAGAACTATGTGTTCATATTCTTTGCCTATTTCCTCTTTTTCTATTATTGTTTTTTCTTATTATTTATATGTATGCATTTACATTATATTGTTATTACTATTATTATTTATAGATTCTTAAAACTTTCAGTTTAATGTAGCACTCAAGGTGGCTTTTCAGATTAACATTCCTTCAAGGAGAAAAATGACCCCAAGCTTGCTGGTATCAGAAAACAACCCATACCCTGCATGTAATAACCAACCAATGCCAGTATTGCTTCGTTGCAGCTTTAGAGTCATTTGAGGAATTGAAAAATAATTAGAAATCTAGGAAGTAGCTTCCTTCAGTTTCTATCCTTCAACTCATCCTCCTCCAGAAGGTTAAACGGGCAGCTGCCGGGAAAATCTCCTCTCCCTGGACAACACAATTATTATGACAAAAGCAGAGTTCTCTGAATGGGGACGAAGCAGTATTTCATCAGTGTCACCCCCTGCCACCAGCTTCCTCATCCTCTTCCGCTGAACACGTCCAAGAGTCTTGTTTACATGTCAGAGGGAGACTCAGATGGTTCTGAGTTGAATATTTATAACTGATTTTTCTAAAGGAAGCTTCATGTTATTTACCTGCCTGTCAGGCGCCATTGTGCACTGAAGGACACAGAGTCTGCATGTCTAATGATTTAAGGGCAAATGCTTTTTACCCAAGGACATTTTTAACCTTAAACATAAAAAAAAAAAAAAGTGCTAAGCTATCCTGATTCTTCAGAAACAAAGACCCAACTAAAAGTTGTCAGCCATAAACTCCAATTATAAATTAACTATGTTTTCATCTTATCCCTATTACTGCTTGATTTTTTTTATATATATATCGAGATCAAGAGTAAAGGAAATTAAGTATCTTTCCCAGAGGCAATATTCCTGTTCTATAAGCCTTGCCATCTAGGAAGAAGTAAAACAAAGGAAAAAGGTAGACTAAGTGACTGAAAAACCTTACAGGCCCAGCGAGGATAATTGATTCTTAAGTCTGGTGTATCCAAAGTTTGACTTTAATTGTAGAAATAAATATACACAAAAGAAAGATCATATGAAATATGATTATAATGTAACAGGATCAGCTTGCTATGGATTCTGCTTTTAAACAAGCAGACCAAATGTTATTATAGCCCAGGAGCACTGTCCTTCAAAGCAACGACCTTGGAAGAGTGTATGATAAGTCAGGGTATGTGGCAATTGCTTAAACTATTTTTCAGACTCCCTTTGGACTTGCCTTTAGAACCAGTTTAGACACCCACCAGAAAATGTCTCATTACTTTGTAATCACACCACACTGAGGGTGCCAGTGTCAGCATTGCCTGGTTTAATCACCCCTCTCTCACCAGACCAAAACAAAAACAAAACAAAAAAACCTAATCAACTCCAACCTCAAAGGATGAATACTGAAGATTTGTTATACATAAAAGAATCAAAAGTGTGACCCACACTGGCGCTCATGACAATTTGCATTGAGCATGGTAATCACATTTTGACAAATCACAGGAAATCATTTTTATAAGAATATATTTGTTTGGTGGCCTATGTCTAACAAACGTATCATTTTCAGTTAGTAGTTGCACCTCACCAACACTCCCATGTTAGAAGGTAGGTACCTCGGTTTTCTTCCTTCAGCCTGGGACTCAAACCTGAGTTTGTACATCCTGAGTTTCTCTACAAGGTATTGTGACAGTGCTTGTTTTCCTGTGTGCTCTGCTTCCTATAGCTCAACCCTAATCTCTTAACCCTTAGTAACTGATTGGCTCACACTGATCTCATTCATGCATCTCCAGCAAATGAATTAGCATGCTCTTCACCTTCTCTTTGCCTTAATTCTGACTCAGCTCATTCCCAAACAGAAGCCAAAGAGGCAGGGGGGAAATAAAGCCAGAATCTGAACTGGCAGTTATAAGAAGAGGAAAGTTTCAAGGCCTGAATTCCTCCCTTTCTACTCAGAGGCATTCAGGGTTCCATCCGCCTGGCTAATAGGAGATAATGTCAGTGGGAATTTAGTGGGCTTGGGTTACACTATGCTCTGTAAGTTAATACAACAATGGAGTACACAGCTGTAATGGGCTATTCTGGCAAAGCCAAATCATTTTCCAACATGGGAATCATTAACACCTCATTCATTATTAAGCTGGAAAACAGTTTGGTTGGATTCCCTAAAGGGTCAGCTGCCAGATGTAAGCTCAGAAATGAAACCATCATGCTATTGCAATGATATTTCTTCAGGAATTTAATATACAAATTGAATAAAAGACCTTTCAAGGAAATTGAAGCCATGTGAATTCCAAGAGTTTGTCCAAGCTTCCACAGTTGAGTAAAATTTCTAAAGAACTTTCCCAATACTCTCCTGTACACTAAATCTTCCTAATTGGATATGAGGAGGAGGAAAAATTCCATTGCATGTGCCATCCAAAATTATACCAGAAACCAAACAGGTGTGCAGATCAGGATCTATGGGAAATTTCTCAAGGCTCTCCTAGAGGAGCCCCATGTAAGTGATGTTGATGGACTCCATCCCACATGAAGGTAATGTGAACCAAGTTTCTCAAACAGTCACCAGCCCACAGATGTCCGAGGAAAAGAGATGGGTCAACTTCATGCTGCAGAATTAAAATCTCACTTCAGACGTGGAAAAACAAACACACAAAAAAACCAAAGTTGGGGATCCAAGACAAAGTTCTGAATTTGCACATTCATGAACTAAACATTCCTCTGAGACGTCTTTTTTTAAAAATTTTTTTATTTATTTCTGAGAGGGAGAGAGAGACAGCATGAGCAGGGGAGAATCAGAGAGAGAGGGAGACACAGAATCTGAAACAGCCTCCAGGCTCTGAGTTGTGCTGTCAGCACAGAGCCCGATGCGGGGCTCAAACCCATGAACTGCGAGATCATGACCTGAGCCAAAGCCGGACGCTTAGCCGACTGAGCCACCCAGGAGCCCCTGAGACTCTGAGATGTCTCTTAATACATTGGGACCACTCAGTTGTCATACCACAAAATTATTTCATTTACACTCCCACTGATTCTGCCTACAATTTTCCATGGACCAAGTTTCTAGAGCTAGGGCACCCAGCCAGGTGTGTACTGGCTCTCAGCCATAGTCTGTGCCAGCACCAAACAATACATGTTTGTCTGGAACGCAGACCTGGAACATCTTTAACACCGTCAGAAGGAAGGCCTGTTCTTCAAAGCACAAGGAATGCCACACAAAATCTAACGTAATCTCCATGCAATTGTTAGGAGCATAAAGCACACACACGTCGTAAGGCAGAGAATACTCGTTTCCTGGGAAAATCCACCTCACAACACGAACACAACAAAGGTAAAGGCAATGTGAATCTTCCTTGTGTATCAAAACACAATTCTCGTTTGTGTTTTCTACAGTGTTCCCCACGTCTGTTTGAATGCATGCATTAGCTCCTACCTTTTCATAGCTTACTTTGGAATTCTACAGTTTCCCTTTACTACTGCAAACAAAGGCGAAACCTTAATATAGGCCGTTTGCATAGTCTGTGGGCAGAGGTATTTCCTCCAGATTTTAATCTCCCCAAACAAAAAGTAGGAGGGAAAAAGCCAGCCCATCTGCAACCCACACCGAGACACGTGCATGCGCTCAGATTCATTCTAGGGGTTTGTCCAGTAAATACTTAAGGGAGAAAGTACATATTGGTTTTGGAAACCTGTTTGGTGAGACGTACCAAGCATACAGATTTCCAAAAATGAAAGCATTGGCATTTCTAGATCCAACGAGATCTTTAAAATAGATAAAATATAAAATATAAGGAGAATAATAGCCAAAAACCATGTTTTCCATATTTGCTTCCAATTTTTTTTTTAAATAAAATATTTCACAGAGTTGTAGTCTCTTCTTTACCCTTCTCTGAAAATATCTCTCAGTCAACTAGCCTCCTCAGAGGTAACCACTATCTGGAAATATAATGGCAACTTTCCTTCCATTTTTTATTACATAGTCATAGTCATGTATCCATAAACAAAACATAGTGTTGTTTTGCCACACAATTTAAATGTATGTGAATACACACATACATTTGTGGTTTTTGTGCAGACTTTAAGGAATCAGTTTCGTTTGTTCATTTTTTTAATGACAAAAAAAATGAAAAGATATCCAAATTTATTGAATTCATCTATAATACTGAGCCTAATTAGTCAAAACAGACTTCCAAATCAGTATAAATGTTTTACTGAGTATGCCATGTTTCATGTAAGAACAGCTTCTTGCATTGTTTTTTTGTCTACTGATAAAGTCACGGATCAAATAAACTTCCATGAGCACAATCAAGAAATTGTTTGGGTTCATTGTCATAAGTCAGTCTAGTGAGTTGGTCATTTAAATTTTTATCTGCAATTGACTTTTTAGTACATCTGGTATTTACCTGACAGAATCAGGAGTTCAATGATCTCTGCATCCCCCAGAAACGCAGCCACATGAAGAGGGGTTCGCTTCTCGGAATCCTGAAACAATGGCAAAGATAAACAACAAGTCAGTGGAGGGTGGAGGTGCCTTTTGTAGGCATAGTCAGACATGTCACTCACTCTAAGGTTAATGTCTGTGGGAGAGAGTGAAGGCTAAAACCTACTCAGGTGAGCTATGGTTACACATTTCTCTCCGCATCTCCTGCAGTCACGTGTACAGAAGATCCCATTCCATTCCGGGTCTGTGTGTTGCATTTGTGGCCCTGCTCCTTTTACTAGAGTCCAGCTCAAGTCAGGGATGGAGCATCGTGCAATGGATGATGAAATTCAATTTATTTTCAGACTTTCGTGATGGTAAAAGAGAAAAAGCTCAAACCTTTCTACGTACTCTAATAGCAGTGTTGAAAGCGTGCAATGACTTCTTTCTAAGCGAACAGAGTGGAATTGCTCACAAGGACATTAAATGTTAGGTACAGTCACTTTCTCTTCTTTATATCTATTAACTGTTGCCTGGTCACTACCCATTCATGTAACATGTATTGAATGCCTACTGTGTGCCAGGAACCAGATTTTAGGTTCAGTCACTGCCCTCATGAAATTTACATTCAAAAGTGGGGGCTGCCAATAGTCATGGAATCCAGTCACGTGACATCCTTTCTGATGGTGATAAAGGCTATAACAAAACTAAAACAGGGTAATGGGATCCAGTGACTGGGGAGATGGGAACAAGATTCTTCAGAATGGTGGTAGAATAAGGCCTTTCTGAGAATACTGACATTGAAGCTGAGAGCTGAGTTAGATATCACTATCTCTGTTTTACAGATGAGAAAACTATGGCTCAAATAAGTTAAGACATTTCCTCCAGACCCCACAGGTATATAGCAGAGCCAAGATTGGACTTTTGCCTGTCAGACTCCATTCTAAGTCTGTGGCAAAGCATTTAACATATTGTGTTGTTAAGATGATAAAATGCAGGGGAATAAAATATTGCTTCTCCATCTGTAAACTGGAGAATCTGATGAGAGAATTCAAGACAATGTAAGTAAATAAAGCCCTAGGCAGGCGCGAAGGTTGACCTATGCATACCATGAGTTTCAGGCAAAGCTGTCTTGTCATGAGCATAGATGACTGTGTGATATCTTCCCTCCAAGACCAAGAATTCCATAAGGTAAAGAACTTGCTCTGTTTTATCCCCACAGCAGCGGCCAAGTAGATGCTCAGCGTACATTGGTCAAACTGAACAGGTCTATGTGCGTTGCCTCTTCTACAAACTTCTGTTGATTGCTCCAGGACAGTAATCAAAGCTTGTATGCTATGCATTTGAGGCTTTCCCTAAATGAGCATGCAATTTAGTTTCAAGATTTGTGGAAGTTGCTGTTGATTTTAATCATCGTTCCTGTTGTCACTTGATGATACAACCTATCCAATCACCCTTGGATTCACCCAAGGACACAATTCTGTTTTCTGACGGCTCAGGCTCTCTGCGCTTTCTCAGGCTCTTTCAGACGACTGCTTTTAGGCATGTGACTCACTAGTATCTAAAACAGATGGCATGCAAGGGACATGACAAGAACTGATCTTCAAACCAGTCTATTTGTTAGGAAGTCTGGGAAATACGTTTTATGAAGGGTTGGGTGGACTCTTTTTTTTTTTTTAATTTTTTAATGTTTTATTTTTGGGAGAGAGAGAGATCACGAGTGGGAGAAGAGCAGAGAGAGAGAGGGAGACACAGAATCGAAAAGAGGCTCCAGGCTCTGAGCTGTCAGCACAGAGCCCGATGCGGGGCTCGAACCCACAAACGGTGAGATCATGATCTGAGCTGAAGTCAGACGCTTAACTGACTCAGCCACTCAGGCGCCCCTGGACTAACTCTTAAGTGGATTAAAAAAAAAAAGGGGGGGGTCTGAATTAGCTGGGAATTTATGTCTCCTATGTATGCTGCAGGCAATTATAACTGATAAGTGGAAATAGGACAGTCATGTAACTATTCCATATAATGTAAAGGTATGCTGTAGAAAATTCAGAAAGTTATACAACCATGGTTAACCCCCTTATAGTTATATTACACTTTCCATGAAAATAGAGATTCAGTATTTGAAAACCTGAAAAATACTTCAAGTGTATTACTTTGTGCAAAGAGACTAGACTTTCATAAATATTTTCTGCTTCTTTTTCTTCTACTGCTATCTCTACAAGCACTTTCCATCTTAGCCTCATCTTCTCACTGAATCCCTGCTATGTCTATAAAACATTTTTCTTGAGTCTTGTGACAAAAGTTACATAATTATATGCTCTTCTGTGAACCGAACTGGTTCCAGGGATTGGTTCAACAAATTAAACCTTATCTAAGTGACTTAAATAAGGACTAACCTGGCCTAAAGTATGACTTCATTTGACCGGAAGCAAAGTCAATGCTCTGTGTGAGAGCTTGGTCTCAAATTTAAAAATCAAGAAAACCTCAGTATCTAAAACTGCTTGGCCTGTCATTATAAGACTGCTTTGTTGATCCTGTGGCCCCTTTTATGACAGGGCTTGTTCAAATTGAAGTTTTTATAATATAAAATGGGTGTGTTACATGAGATCGTGTTTTAAAAATTCTTAATTGCAAATACCAGTCTTCCTGTTGAAATGTATTTAAAGGTTTCCTGTAGCTTCTGAAATAACTATGACAATTGATATTCCCCTTCAGTGACATGTCATAGACAGGTAACTGCAAAGAAGACCTGTATTCAGGCAGCAGGTCTTTGGTTCTCTCAAGCATCAGAACTAGATAAACAATTTCATGTGCTATTAAGACCTTAACTAAAATAACAAGGCATGTCCACTATTGACCAAGGGCCACCAACAGCAGCTCTCTGGCCAGGAACCTGAATGATATATAGGGTCATGAGCTGAGAGGTGAATAAAAGAGCCACAGTACTCACCAAACTCAATCAGGTAAAATCAGTTCGGAGGCTGCAGTTCATCCTAAGTATAAGGCCACTCGATTTTTCCAGAAACTAGACTAATGGACAAGAAGATGTAATGGTAGAAGAAGGAAGGAAAAGAGTCTGGGGAAGAGTATGCTAGCAGTAACATTAGAAAAATATGTTCTAGACCAATGATACTCCTAGAGTATCCAGAAGAAGAAGCAAAACCTAATTATAGAATGCTTTAATTTTTTTTCAGGGTAGCTTTTAATCTATTCCACTACTTGAATCTGAATAACATCCCTATCAGGGGAAACACACCTTTCAGAATCGTGTTGTTAAGTCTTACTATCATCTTACTTTTCATTACTGAAAAGCTAAGGAATCTGAGCATTTTGTATGACTTGCTGAACACTCAGGGATGGGTGATGAGGTGAAGAATTAGAACTGACCTTCACATAGACAGAAACACTTGCAGTGGTCTTGAAGAAAGATTCTTGAAATAAATTGATGTTGAAAAAAAAGGCCACTCTAGCAGGTAGATGGAAAAGCAATGCTTTGGCCTAGATTCCTGGTGGGGGAATAAAAGTGTCTCCACTGCGCATTCCCACAGTCTGCCCTGATGTGGTTTGGGGTTTTGAATTCACAACACCTGCATATTCCAGGAACTTTGAAGCTGAAAAACAGGCATAAAACTGGTTCTCGGCTAAAGACACCTCTTAGGGTGTCAAGAGGAAGAAACAAGACCTATCTGGAGCGATGTGTCCTCAATAAAAGCAACTTCAGACACTCACAGTTAAGCCACCACTGAAGATGAGCTCACAAGCCTAAGCCACAAGACTCATGTAGAAGCAATTAACTATAAGCAAGAATCAGCAGGCATAACACCCAGAAAGAACTTGAGATAGCCCAAGAATCAAATAGAGATATAAATAATGTTTAAAATCATTTAAGATGTAAAAGATAAAGCCCAAGAAGAAAAAAACATTATTTTTTAAATGAAAAAAAATTGGGGGAATAAGTGTGTAGGGAGAGTTTCAGGAAGTAGTATAAACACATGATGCTGCCCAATCATCTAAAGCTTTGGACTGAAAACAGATGAAAACAAGAAGAGTAAACAAGAAGGAAAGGAGAAGAAAAAATAAGGACAGTGACTTTAGGGTATGTTTTACGAGCCATTTTTCAGCCATATTTTCTAGACATAGACATTTAATTGATAAGTTATTATACCCTAGGTATTGTGGTGAATGTTAAAAACGTAAATTAAAAATATCCAGTCCTTGCCCTAAAGAAACTTACAATCCAGTTACCAGTTTCCAAATCTAAGACATTAGAATATTCTAAGATACTAGAATAAAAGCAAGTGGCAATTAGTGATATTTGTGATGTTAAATGATTTGTGAAAATTACCATTGGTGAATACTGCCCTGAAACCCACCCAGTTCTGAACTGCTCTGGGCAGGAAATCTAAACTGACAAGAAAACAATCACCCTTTATTGGGAAATAAGCACATCTTGCCCAGGGCCACCTAGACCCCATACTGGCTCCAGCTTACCTGGGAACTTTGGAAACCCAGGGCGAGACTCTCTAGTCACAAAGGCCAGCCTATATTTTACAGGGTTGACTTCGAGATTGTTTCTGGGTCAACATTAGAATTGAGGACCAGTCAGGACCAGAGAGTAGTGTTCAGACATAGCAGCGGAGCTAAGTGTTCTGCTCCATTTGTGTTCACTGCCACCTGGTCCTCAAGTAGATATTCCATGACGACCGCGAGCTGAGGCATGGCCATGGTGGTCTTTCCAACACCCATGAATACAGAAGGAGAAATAATTCAAAAGCAAGCACAGTACGTTCAACACACATTAGAAATGACTCATCAGTGACTCATCCACATGGACAGAGCCCAATGTGGGGCTCCAACTCACAAACTGTGAGATCACAACCTGAGCCAAAGTTGGACACTTAACCAACTGAGCCACCCAGGCGCCCCACATCAGTATGTTTTTTAAGAGACTGTCCAAGTAACAGAAAAAGACCTTTTCCCATTACCCAGTAACTCCGATTCCAAACAGCCCTTCGAAAACAGATTCGGACCCATGAAAAGATGGTTTCTCCAGAAGGAAGGAAGG